GGCGTTTGGGGCAGCACAATGGGGGGCCCGTAAAAGGGCCCCATGAAACTCGGCCTGGCAGCAGCATGAGGAGGCGGAAAAGGGGCCCATGGCAGATTACGGGCCTGGCCGCTAGCAGACAATGGGAGGCACGTTAAATCTGCCCTAGCTACCCTATGACAAAATGGGAACCCACCTGCAGTAGTTGAATGAGGACTGGACTCCTGAAAGTGGCAACATGGCAGAGGCTTGTGGCGAGGGTCGACAGTGAGCAATGGGAGGCATGTACAGGACGAACAATCTGCCAGCACCCTTGACAAAAATGGAACCCACCAGCAGTGTGAGAGGAGACCTGAAAGTGGCACATGGCAGAGTGTGGCGATGTGGATGGACAGCAGCAATGGGAGGCCGTACAGGGACCCATTGAGACACTCTGGACCTGGCAGCAGCGCATGAGGAGGCGGGTACAGGGGCCCATGGCAGATTACGGGCTCTGTGCGGGCAGGCAGCAATGGGGAGGCCGTAATCTGCCAGCACCCTATGACAAAATGGAACCCACAGCAGTGTGAGGAGACCTGAAAGTGGCACATGGCAGAGTGTGGCGATGGAGACAGCAGCAATGGGAGGCCGTACAGGGACCCATGACACACTCTGGACAGGCCTGGCAGCAGCATGAGGAGGCGGTTACGGGGGCCCATGGCAGATTACGGGCCTGGCAGCAGCATTGGGAGGCCCGTAATCTGCCAGCAACCCTATGACAAAATGGAAACCCCACCAGCAGTGTGAGGAGACCTGAAAGTGGCACATGGCAGAGTGTGGCGATGGAGACAGCAGCAATGGGAGGCCGTACAGGGACCCATGAGACACTCTGGACCTCCTGGCAGCAGCATGAGGAGGCGGGTACAGGGGCCCATGACAGATTAAGGGGTGGCCAGCATGGCAGATACGGGGGCCTGGCAGATTACGGGCCTGGCAGCAGCAGCAATGGGAGGCCCGTAATCTGCCAGCACCCTATGACAAAATGGAACCACCAGCAGTGTGAGGAGACCTGAAAGTGGCACATGGCAGAGTGTGGGGATGGAGACAGCAGCAATGGGAGGCCGTACAGGGACCCATGACACACTCTGGACCTGGCAGCAGCATGAGGAGGCGGTACGGGGGCCCATGGCAGATTACGGGCCTGGCAGCAGCAATGGGAGGCCCGTAATCTGCCAGCACCCTATGACAAAAATGGAACCCACCAGCAGTGTGAGGAGACCTGAAAGTGGCACATGGCAGAGTGTGGCGATGGAGACAGCAGCAATGGGAGGCCGTACAGGGACCCATGAGAGACTCTGGACCTGGGCAGCAGCATGAGGAGGCGGTGTACAGGGGCCCATGGCAGATTACGGGCCTGGCTAGCAGCAATGGGAGGCCCGTAATCTGCCAGCACCCTATGACAAAAATGGAAACCACACCAGCAGTGTGAGGAGACCTGAAAGTGGCACATGGCAGAGTGTGGCGATGGAGACAGCAGCAATGGGAGGCCGTACAGGGACCCATGACAGACTTACTGACCTGGCAGCAGCATGAGGAGGCGGTACAGGGGCCCATGGCAGATTACGGGCCTGGCAGCAGCAATGGGAGGCCCGTAATCTGCCAGCACCCTATGACAAAATGGAACCCCACAGCAGCAGTGTGAGGAGACCTGAAAGTGGCACATGGCAGAGTGTGGCGATGGAGACAGCAGCAATGGGAGGCCGTACAGGGACCCATGACACACTCTGGACCTGGCAGCAGCATGAGGAGGCGGTTACAGGGGCCCATGACAGATTACGGGCCTGGCAGCAGCATGAGGAGGCGGTTACAGGGGGCCCATGGCAGATTACGGGCCTGGCAGCAGCAATGGGAGGCCCGTAATCTGCCAGCACCCCTATGACAAAAAAATGGAAACCCACCAGCAGTGTGAGGAGACCTGAAAGTGGCACATGGCAGAGTGTGGCGATGGAGACAGCAGCAATGGGAGGCCGTACAGGGACCATGACAGATTTACTGGACCTGGGCAGCAGCATGAGGAGGCGGTACGGGGGCCCATGGCAGATTACGGGCCTGGCAGCAGCAATGGGAGGCCCGTAATCTGCCAGCACCCTATGACAAAATGGAACCCACCAGCAGTGTGAGGAGACCTGAAAGTGGCACATGGCAGAGTGTTGGCGATGGAGACAGCAGCAATGGGAGGCCGTACAGGGACCCATGAGACAGATTGACGGACCTGGGCAGCAGCATGAGGAGGCGGTACAGGGGCCCATGGCAGATTACGGGGACCTGGCAGCAGCAATGGGAGGCCGTAATCTGCCAGCACCCTATGACAAAATGGAACCCCAGCAGTGTGAGGAGGAGACCTGAAAGTGGCACATGGCAGAGTGTGGCGATGGAGACAGCAGCAATGGGAGGCCGTACAGGGACCCATGAGACACTCTCTGGACTGGCAGCAGCATGAGGAGGCGGTACAGGGGCCCATGGCAGATTACGGGCCTGGCAGGCAGCAGCAATGGGAGGCCCGTAATCTGCCAGCACCCTATGACAAAAATGGAACCCACCAGCAGTGTGAGGAGACCTGAAAGTGGCACATGGCAGAGTGTGGCGATGGAGACAGCAGCAATGGGAGGCCGTACAGGGACCCATGAGACACTCTGGACCTGGCAGCAGCAATGGGAGGCCGTACAGGGGCCCATGACAGATTACGGGCCTGGCAGCAGCATGAGGAGGCGGTACGGGGGGCCATGGCAGATTACGGGCCTGGCAGCAGCAATGGGAGGCCCGTAATCTGCCAGACCCTATGACAAAAATGGAACCCCCACCAGCAGTGTGAGGAGACCTGAAAGTGGCACATGGCAGAGTGTGGCGATGGAGACAGCAGCAATGGGAGGCCGTACAGGGACCCATGAGACACTCTGGACCTGGCAGCAGCAGCAGGAGGCCAGGCGGTACAGGGGCCCATGACAGATTACGGGCCTGGCAGCAGCATGAGGAGTCGGTACGGGGGCCCATGGCAGATTACGGGCCTGGCAGCAGCAATGGGAGGCCCGTAATCTGCCAGCACCCTATGACAAAATGGAACCCACCAGCAGTGTGAGGAGACCTGACCTGAAAGTGGCACATGGCAGAGTGTGGCGATGGATGGAGCAGCAGCAATGGGAGGCCGTACAGGGACCCATGAGAGACTCTGGACCTGGCAGCAGCATGAGGAGGCGGTACGGGGGCCCATGGCAGATTACGGGCCTGGCAGCAGCAATGGGAGGCCCCGTAATCTGCCAGCACCCTATGACAAAATGGAACCCACCAGCAGTGTGAGGGAGACCTGAAAGTGGCACATGGCAGAGTGTGGCGATGGAGACAGCAGCAATGGGAGGCCGTACAGGGACCCATGAGAGACTCTGGACCTGGCAGCAGCATGAGGAGGCGGTACGGGGGCCCATGGCAGATTACGGGCCTGGCAGCAGCAATGGGAGGCCCGTAATCTGCCAGCACCCTATGACAAAAATGGAACCCACCCAGCAGTGTGAGGAGACCGAAAGTGGCACATGGCAGAGTGTGGCGATGGAGACAGCAGCAATGGGAGGCCGTACAGGGACCCATGAGACACACTCTGGACCTGGGCAGCAGCATGAGGAGGCGGGGGTACAGGGGCCCATGGCAGATTACGGGCCTGGCAGCAGCAATGGGAGGCCCGTAATCTGCCAGCACCCTATGACAAAAAAATGGAACACACCAGCAGTGTGAGGAGACCTGAAAGTGGCACATGGCAGAGTGTGGCGATGGAGACAGCAGCAATGGGAGGCCGTACAGGGACCCATGAGAGACTCTGGACCTGGCAGCAGCATGAGAGGAGGCGGTACGGGGGGCCCATGGCAGATTACGGGCCTGGCAGCAGCATGGGAGGCCCGTAATCTGCCAGCACCCTATGACAAAAAATGGAACCACACCAGCAGTGTGAGGAGACCTGAAAGTGGCACATGGCAGAGTGTGTGGCGATGGAGACAGCAGCAATGGGAGGCCGTACAGGGACCCATACACACTCTACTGGACCTGGCAGCAGCATGAGGCGGTACAGGCGGTTACTGGCAGCAGCATGAGGGAGGGGGGCCCATGGCAGATTACGGGCCTGGCAGCAGCAATGGGAGGCCCGTAATCTGCCAGCACCCTTATGACAAAAATGGAACCCACCAGCAGTGTGAGGAGACCTGAAAGTGGCACATGGCAGAGTGTGGCGATGGAGACAGCAGCAATGGGAGGCCGTACAGGGACCCATGACACACTCTGGACCTGGCTGCCAGCATGAGGAGGCGGTACAGGGGCCCATGGCAGATTACGGGCCCTGGCAGCAGCATGGAGGAGTCGGTACTGGGCCCATGGCAGATTACGGGCCTGGCAGCAGCAATGGGAGGCCCGTAATCTGCCAGCACCCTATGACAAAATGGAGGACACCACCAGCAGTGTGAGGAGACCTGAAAGTGGCACTCTGGACATGGCAGAGTGTGGCGATGGATGACAGCAGCAATGGGAGGCCGTACAGGGACCCATGAGACACTCTGGACCTGGCAGCAGCATGAGGAGGCGGTACAGGGGCCCATGACAGATTACGGGCCTGGCAGCAGCATGGGAGGAGTCGGTACGGGGGCCCATGGCAGATTGGGGCCTGGCAGCAGCATATGGGAGGCCCGTAAAGTGCCAGCATGGCCTGATGTGGCAAAATGGAACCCACCAGCAGTGTGAGGAGACCTGAAAGGGGCCCATGGCAGAGTGTGGCGATGGCAGCAGCAATGAGGAGGGACAGGGGGTGACAGGGGTCCATGGCATGCAGAATGAGAAGTGTGGTACGGGGAGCGATGGGGACTGGCCAGCAGAATGGAGGCAGCATAAAGGGACCCTGGAGACACTTGGACTGGCAGGGGCCCATGTCCGGAGTGCAGGTAGGGGGCCCGTCATGGCAGATTACGGCCTGGCAGCAGCAATGGGAGGCCCGTAATCTGCCAGCACCCTATGACAAAATGGAACCACCAGCAGTGTGAGGAGACCTGAAAGTGGCACATGGCAGAGTGTGGCGATGGAGACAGCAGCAATGGGAGGCCGTACAGGGACCCATGAGACACTCTGGACCTGGCAGCAGCATGAGGAGGCGGTACAGGGGCCCATGGCAGATTACGGGCCTGGCAGCAGCAATGGGAGGCCCGTAATCTGCCAGCACCCTATGACAAAATGGAACCCACCAGCAGTGTGAGGAGACCTGAAAGTGGCACATGGCAGAGTGTGGCGATGGAGACAGCAGCAATGGGAGGCCGTACAGGGACCCATGACACACTCTGGATGGCAATCTCAGCAGCATGAGGAGGAGGAGTACAGGGGCCCATGGCAGATTAGGGCCTGGCAGCAGCAATGGGAGGCCCGTAATCTGCCAGCACCCTATGACAAAAAAATGGAACCCACCAGCAGTGTGAGGAGACCTGAAAGTGGCACATGGCAGAGTGTGGCGATGGAGACAGCAGCAATGGGAGGCCGTACAGGGACCCATGACACACTCTGGACCTGGCAGCAGCATGAGGAGGCGGTACAGGGGCCCATGGCAGATTACGGGGACCTGGCAGCAGCAATGGGAGGCCCGTAATCTGCCAGCACCCTTGACAAAATGTGAACCCACCAGCAGTGGTGAGGAGAGACTGAAAGTGGCACATGGCAGAGTGTGGCGATGGAGACATGGGGCCCTGGGGACGCACGCTTGACTTTCTGGCCACACATGCTCGACATACGGCTTTACGTTTACTTCGCACTCGGCGGCTTGACGAAAAATTGCCACACCGGCCGAGTAGGAAACTTTGCCCCCGCTACGACCTCACTGGCTGACTGCTACTTCCTCATCGTGCACACCGGACACACTACTGGCCTCTGGTGAGGGCTGCAATGGAGCTGGTGGGTGCTACTCCGTGGCCGTTTGCCTCCACTGACACTGCTTAGCGACCCTGCTGCCTCCTGGGCAACCCTCCGAATCTGTTGTAGTAATCTCGCTTGCCAAGCTGGCACAGTCACTTCTGTCCTAATGCGAGTAACAATAGCCTGTGTCCCCGAGTGCAAGTCTGTGGACAGCTGTCATCTTGATCAGTATAAATTCGAGGTCGGCCCTGGAGTAGAAACTTAGCCCCCTCGCTACTGTCTCAGGAGACCAGCGACAGTTCCTTGCAGTCCTAGAGGCACTCACGTACTGGCCGTAGTCCCCTATGAGTAGACTGCTGTGGCAGAACTGTAGCCTACTAACAGCGCACGTGTTCGCCTAGGCTCTGAAACGGGATTCAATGGCAGCCCCTCCTGAGTTGAACAACGTCATGCTCTTGGACATCGTCTGTAACTAATTCTGAGGCTGAGCCACTCGGCAGCAGATACTTCTGAGTGTACTGCAGTAACACCCAGATTCATTGTGGGTAATGGATTTTGACTCCCTGAGTACTGGGCAGCTCCCGTGTGCCATGAGAGACAATCTGTTCCCCCCCCAAAAACACACAAGCGACAGTTTTGCTCATACTGTCCAAATCAGAGAGTCATCTGGGAAAAATTCTGTGGCCACCATGAGATTTCGTTTTTACGGCATGTAGCCTCGATGGAGACACAGTACTGTGCTGCTACAGCCTCGGCACGTTCTGCAGCCTAATTGCTCCCTGATGATGCAATCTGGTCTGTCCCTGATGACGATGAGTCTGCCAAGTCCTCTATCTGTTGTCCATATAGTTAATTCAGTCGTTCTGTGTCCCCGGCTCAGTAGAACAGTTCTCTGTTGCGTCCTCAGTGAAACAATTCCTGTGTCCTTGACTGAGTAACAGTTACTGTGTCACATCTCAGTAACAATTCTGTTTCGCCTGAGTAAGGCTGAGAGGCGGATGATAGTCAATTCTGTTCTGTGGCAGTAACAATTCTGTTGTCTGTCCCTGTCAGTAAAAAGTCTGGACATGACCCTGAGTTAATCAACATGTTCTGTGTCTGATGTCAATAAGTGCTGCTGTCTGTAACACCCTGTTGACCGACCCAATCTTCTGTGCCCGTCTGCTAACAATTTCTGTTCCCTGCCCACAGTAACAATTCTGTGTTCTGCCTACAGTCAACATCTGTAGTCCCGTAAACATTTTGAGTCCCTGTCTAGTTGTCCCTAGAGTAACAATCTGTCGGTCCTCCTGAGTAACAATTCTGTGTCCACTGAGTAAACATTCTGTGGGGCCTGACAGTAAACACGCCTTTCTGTGTGTCCCCTCAGTTACTCCCTATTCTGAGTGGTCCTCACATGTAAACAATTCTAGTCTGTCCCTGAGAGTAACAATTCTAGTGTGTCCCTCAGTAACAATTCTGTGTCCCTCAGTAACGATTCCTCGCGGTCCCTGAGTAACAATTCTAGTGTCCATGGAGTAACGTTATTGTGGTACGTACCAATTTGTGGCTAGTAACAATTC